AATTTGCATATTATGATATATGTCATACTTTTCGTATTATTCATAGTTGAATTATAATTTATAAATATTTTAAATAGATTATTTGTTATAATTTTGTGATTTTAATGTAATTTTTATAATTATTTATGATTTTATACTATCTTAAAATTAATAAAATTTAAAGATCTGTAGGACTTACGCCCCATGTCTCAGGGCTTACGCCTTGCCTCACGCCCCCGTCTTTTAAAATATTGAATACGACATCCTACTTGATCAAACTGGACCAAAATAACATATTTTTTTAAGGATGAAATACAAGAGAATAATCCACTTCATATTTCTCTGGAAAAAAAAAAGAGATTGGTAACAAGAAAATAAAATGACCAAAGAATCTACATAATCAGTTTTGAAAACTTTTTCTTTCCGTAAACAAGTTACCAAAAGTGAAAAAAGAATCTACATAATAAATTGAGTAAGTTAATTGAAACCATTATATAAATTTACAACAATATACCATATATTGGCATAGTGTATATTGATACTTAGTTACTTATCTTCTATATATACAATCTAGGCAGCATTTTAATTTACATTTAAAAATTTAAAACTCCTATCCTATAGATTCGATTCCTTTTTTTATTTAGATAGCTTCTTAAATTACTTTTCCTCCTTTTTAGGTAAATGCTTAAATAATATATATATTACTATTCTTTTCAGAGACTATAAATACATGCAGAAAATAAAATTTCAATACAAGAAAAATAATATACTCATACTCATATACTTTCATTGTTGAGATGACAAAGGCAACATTGACTTTGTTATGTTTTGCTTAGTTTTTTGCAAATTTAGCCATATTGGGGAATCCTTTGAATTGGAAAAACAAAATCATTTGAATGATGTTAAGATAAATAAGGCTCAATGCCATAATGATGATGATTGTGTGAAATATTGTAAAGATCATCTTGGTTTCCCAGGTTGTGGATGTGAGATCAGTGGAATGTGTCGTTGTTGCGTTCCTTCACCGCCTAATGTTCAGATATAATGTACTTTGGATAATTTTATTTTGAGTAAAATGAAGATTTATAAGCTCTGACCATTTTGAGAACTTCTACTTGTTTTTTTATCGAAGAAGAAATCTAGGTTCATTGACAGTGTCAAAGTAGAACTTCTACTTCTACTTAGGATAAATAACCTGTTGTGGTGGTGGCTCATTGTCACGCTCCAAAACCTAGGAGCCCGATCGGCGCTTAACCGAGTAAACCCAACTGAGCAAGCCTGTTAGATTTCATTCTATCCAAATCAATTTATAAATAACGAGGAGACATACTCCATTAATCAAACACTAAGTAGTTTTATTTAGCAACCTCCATTTCATTTCCGTTAGTAGATTCATTCATAATCTCCAAAATATTATAAGTTTATAGATTTAATGAAAATCATGTTTGTTAAATTCCCCACATTAAGCACTACCCACAATCTGTCTACGGAGCCTCTAAGTACGACTGAAGAGTAATAAGGAAATGCCGGCAGCAAAGCTCCGGCTATACCTCAAAACATGATAAGAAAATGAATAAAAGATACATGACATGTGTCACGACCCAAAATTCGACTAGCCGTGATGGCACTTAACCTCACCCGCTAGGTAAACCAAATAACAAAAATCCGATTCAATTAATATATAACTGTCTCTAATACACTCCCCAAGGACTGATAGTACAAATCATAAGCTTCTAAGATTAGAATTTAAAAGCCGGTGTGAAATAAAATACATCATCTGTTTGACATATAC